AAAGAAACCCCAAAATCTCCCTCTTCTACTCAAATATTGTTCATTGCAATAAGCCTTAATTTTGAGCGGAACGTTTGTTTTCTACATTTCATTATTTCTTCTTTTTTTCTTCAAACTTTTGTTTTATTTCAGAGAAATCCATGGTTTATTATAAAGACAAATGAATGACAGAAGCCAAGAAGAACCAGTAAGGAAAGTTCAAAAGTCGGACGGGGCCGACTATATGATACCCTTCACCACTATGGGTACATGCAAGACATGTTAATATCTACAATATCCTGTAGATATAGAAATTTCGCATACATCAGTCGGGACCTAATTCGGTACTCTGTGCAAAATTTTGTCTGAATTGGATAAATATTGGCAGTATGGAGCTTCATTTACATAAAATGGGACGAAACTATATATAGGAGCTATGTCTAAATCTAAACCGATTCCAACAAAATTTCACATAAATCAGTCGGGACCTAATTCAGTACTCTGTGCAAAATTTTGCTTTAGTCGGACCACTATTGGTAGTTTGGTGCACTATTTACATTAAATCGGACGAAACGACCTGTGCCAAATTTCATCCCAATCGGATCATAAATGGGACCTCTACTTTGTTAACAAAAATACATGGACGGACATGCATAAATCGACTCAGAAAGTGATTCTATGCATATTCTCAAAAGGAACCATGGGTCTATTTCGATTTTTTTCCTGTTACAAACATATGCACAAAGACACAATACCCTGTACCAAAGTGTGGTGAAGGGTATAAAAAGGGGGTTATATGTGGACTTCCCCTAAAAGGGGGCGAATATTAATAATTTTTGGGAGTGAGGTTTGTTACCATATACGACTACAAAAAACCAAATTACAAAGAATTCGGTTGAAAAACGCGCTCAAGAACCCCAAAATACCGAAAATTGGGGGGTACCTTTATATGGGGGCTACCCGAAAAAATGGGTTTATATTTATAATTTATAGTGGAGAGATTTGCTACCTAATAAGAACTCGATGTACTAAATTACAGTCAATTCGGTCGAAAAATACGATCAGAACCCCCAAAATACCAAAAATTTGGGGGTACCGTTATATGGGGACTACCAGAAAAACTGGGCCTATATTTATAATTTTTAGTGGAGTAATTTGGTACCCAATAAGAACCCAATGTACACAATTTCAGAGAATTCAGTTATAAAACGAGGTCAAGAACCCCAAAATACCGAAAATTGGGGGTACCCTTATATGGGGACTATCCGAAAAAATGAACCTATATTTATAATTTTTAGTAGGGAGATTTCCTACCCAATAAGAACTTAAAGTACCAAATTTCAGTGAATTCGGTCGAAAAATGCGATCAAAACCCCCAAAATACCGAAAATTGGGGGTACCCTTATATGGGGACTATTCGAAAAAATAGTCCTATATTTATAATTTTTAGTTGGGAGATTTACTACCCAATAAGACCTCAAAGTACCAAATTTCAGCAGATTCAGTTGAAAAACGCGCTAAATAACCTCAAAATACCGAAAATTGGGGCGTACCCTTATATGGGAGCTATACCTAAACGTGGACCGATTTTCTCCAATTTCAATAGGGTTCGTCCTTGGGCCAATTAAGTGACCTGTGCCAAATTTCATCCAAATCGGATCATAAATGCGACCTGTTAACAAAAATACATGGACGGACGGACAGACAGACATGCCTAAATCGACTCAGAAAGTGATTCTATGCATATTCTCAAAAGGAACCATGGGTCTATCTCGATTATTTTTGCCTGTTACAAACATATGCACAGAGACATAATACCCTGTACCACAGTGTGGTGAAGGGTATAAAAATCTTTAAAAATTCGAACAGAATTTTTATGGATAAAATCTTTCACTTATGGCGAAGAGTTAGAAGATGAAGTTTTTCCATAAAACCTAGTTTCAATAACTTGGCGGTGTCGAAGAAAGTTTCAAGATTTCACATTGTTTTTGCGACAAATGAAAACTCTAACAAAATAAGAACAAAAAAATGGTTTTCTGTACCACAACTGGAAAATGAAGCGGTTTTGGAAATTAGTTCTTGCTAATACAATGGGAAAACGTAGGACATACGCTTCACTAAAACCATGGATCAGTAAAAGTAATAAGTAGAAATCTGAACCGATTTTCACGAAATTTAACACATATCGTTCTAGACTTTATTCAGTAGGCTGTGTCAAATTTCGTGCAAATCGAAGGATATAAAAGGACTTTGAGGCACTATTTACCTAAAATCGAACGAAAATATATATGGGAGCTATATCTAAATCTGAACTGATTTCCATGAAATTTAAAACACATCGTTCTACACTTAATTCAATAGGCTGTGTCAAATTTCGAGCAAATCGAAACATCATTCTAGGCTCAATTCAGTAGGCTGTGCAAATCCAAAGATATTTAGGGACTTTGGTGCACCGTTTACCTTAAATCGGACGAAAATATATATGGGAGCTATATCTAAATCTGAACCGATTTTTCCCAATTTCAATAGGGTTCGTCCTTGGGCCAAACAAATGAACTGTGCCAAATTTCATCCAATTCGGATCATAAATGCGACCTGTACTTTGTTTGCAATTTAACATGGATCGTCTGGTCAGACGGACGGACATGCATAAATCGACTCAGAAAGTGATTCTATGCATATTCTCAAAAGGAACCATGGGTCTATCTCGATTATTTTTGCCTGTTATAAACATATGCCTTGGCCTCTTTTATGTGGTTTGAATCGGTATATGTATTATCGTACGTTACAATGAAAATTTTAAGAGCTTCTAGGTGGTATAAGGCATTATATCACTGCTTCACTTCATAGAGCAACTCATGCCCCGTTTCATAGAACAACTCATGCCCCGTCGGTCCTACTTTTGTCATTTCTTTATTTTATTTTCCTATCCTAAAAATTCATATTTTCTATTTCATTAAAATTTATCGCATTTTTTAATTAAAACATGCAAATATAATCATGAAACAAATATTGTTCATATTCCACACTGCATTCCCACAAAATGCTTAAATTTATGACCTGTTAAATTATAATTTATTTTCAAAGTTTCGCTGGACTCAAAATGCTGGCAACTTTTACACTTGCTACAATTACAAAATGACATTTCAACACTCTCACCATCCCACTAAAGAAGCACTTTCATTAAAAATGACATAGAAGCTTTTTTGTCACCAAAAAGGAGGTCGCACTAAAAGCGTAAAATTACTATCCCATAACAGAGTCAAGGCGGCACAATTAATCATGGTTAATAAGTTCTTCTTCATGGTGTTTGTAGGATAGCTTTTCCTCTAATTGCGAGTAAAATGAAGGCAATTTACATTCATTAGATATGTTCTTAATTATCGTTTATATATTTTCATTAAAAACACATTTGGCGCAGATTTAACTACTTTTTGCATAAATTAGAAAAAAAATCTCCAAAATAAAATTTCTATGACGACTATAAAATTATGCCATATATACAATGGCTTATTATACGATGCAAAATAATTTTTAGATACCCAAATTGATGTAGGATATCATATATTCAGCATCGTTCGACTTTGGTTATTTCCTTATAGGTTTTCAGTCTGAGATAACTGCATTTGCTAAAGTATCTACCACATGCCGATGACCCACCGTCCTGACAACAGTGATTACAAACATATTTATTAATTAAATTTACCGGAACATATACACCGGTAATTAGCTGTCTACATTTGTAGTAGTGTACAAATTATCGACACATTCGCATTCAATGCACATACACGCATTTACACAGAACTACATAAGCTAACTCACAATTAATTTTCATCATAGAACTGAAGGATAAATGTGTCTACAATTAAGACAATTTTCAGAGAAGTAGCACTTTTCGAATTATTTGTCCATGAACTTTTATGTGTACATTGTGTTGTTGTTCTTATACTTGTCATTGTACTCTTTGAATATTCCCAATAAATCGCCTTGTTGTCTTCAATACTCACTTGAGAATAATTGTGAAGAACTAATCAGATTAAGAGATCTTTATTAACTCTTAGTTTTATTAAGTACAAGCTGACCCGACACACGTTGTTCTTTCCTTAGCAATATTGTTGATGTATACTTTTCGGCATTTTAGATTTGCGTTTATACATACCCTCCACCTTAACTGTAACCAGATTTAGTGCCAAGGCAATCTTATATAACCCTAACAACATGCATAAAGCAATAAATATCTTATTTTTTTTATATTTAAAAAATAAGCTTTATTAATGACATTGTGTAAAAAAGATGACTATAATTAATATACAATATAGGTACAATTATAAATTTATATATTTAAAAATTTTAAAATACCTATAAAATACTTTTTTTATAATTTGGCTAATGGCGAATAGTATTGTCAATTGGATAACAACACTTGATTAAAAATATAATTTGTGTATTTTTTTAATATAATCATTTGTTTCTTAATCTATAACAAGCAATTGTTCATTAAAGTGTTTTCTATTTGTATAGCAAAGTATAATAGAATTGTAAAAGAAATGCAGCAAGAGGGAATGGTGGTGTAGATAGGCAATTTTTAGTGTAATTTAAATGTTGAAATTGTTTGTTTGTTAAAGCTATTTTGTAAAAAAATGTCTTTATTAAAGCTTTAATTTGTTTGGCAGTAAATTTGAGCAAATGTCTTTGTATTATAACAATTTTCAATTATATGGGTTATTTCACTTAGTGGACCAAATTTAATTTACCAAGTTCAGAATATAACAACATGGCAAATCCCAAAGGAAATATTATTTCTTTTGTAATTGTTACACTATCATATGTTGAAGTATAAATATATCAAAATATTTTATATATCTGAACTTGATCATCATTTTAAAATCTGCTTTTGTAATATATTTATTTTGTTACTTCGAAAAAAAAAAAAAATCCCTTGTCTTTTAATTATCCTCTCTTCGCTTTCCTACAACTGTTATAAAAGTTTTTTTCTTTCTCCAATTTCTCTCCTTGTTCCATCTGATTTATGACTAAATATCTTCATCATCATCGTCGTCCTGTGTTATAATGGCCATCATTTCATCTTGTCAGTTAAGTAAATCCCCGCCATAAACTTGTATTAAAGCAATATTACTATCAACTGGAAAATCATGATGATTGACATTGAATTCATTCAAATAGACTGCACCCAAATAGGCTGTATCACGTGCTTCGGGAGTTTTACGATAGAGGACACCGATATCTTTGACTTGTATACCGCCATCAAATCCAACCACATAATAACGCACACGCCATCCATTGGCTTGGAAATCGGGGAAGGCCATATCTTTGGGTATTTGAGGACATTCCAGGGGGCCACTCAACAGCTCATTGTATTTCGGTTTGAAGGGCGACACATAACAACGTCCTCTTTGTAAGCTCACCGTATCATAATAGTCGCCCAAAAATAAATAACAATCACGGGCATTATTGCTGGTACAAAAACGTAGAATACAATCAAATTCACCATCCTGCGGATTGAGTTTGTAGGCATAGGCAAATACCAAACCACCACCGGGAAGTTTAAAATCTGTGGCAAACAAACGAAAACTGCTGTCACATTGGCTGATGCGAAGGCATGAGCCACCGTTGAAGGCATCATCATAGTGTCGGGTTGCCAAATCATGCAAGGGTACAGATGGTTGTAACGATTGGCGGGATAAATTGAAAAATCCTTCCGATTCATTGGCTGCAGCCTCCTCTCCACTACTGGCACTTGCCTCTCCTCCTTCCACCGCTGCCTTCGGCAAGCCACTTACATAGGTACGTTTACCCGAACCCATACAAAAGTCGGTATAAAATGACAACGTATTATATGGATGCGTTGCCAAATGATCCCATAAAAGCCACCAGAATTTTTCATTTCTCAGTAGAAATGTTTCATTCACAGCATCGTCACCATTCTCCTGTTTTATATTATAGCCGAACTGTTGCAGTGTTTCATATGTCCAGGCTGGGGCAAAAATGCCAACCGAGAAACGATTTTTGGCAATGCGTGCCAAGGTTCGTTTACTTTGAAATTTAGCAATTTGATTACGGCCAAATACATCAATGCCAAAGAAAACACTTTGGCTGTGAGCCCGCTCCTGTTCGCACAGCGAGCGTGTCTTTTCAAGGCTACTGTCGGTCCAACTGTAATTTATGAGAGTGGCATGAGTTGACCTAAAGAAACGCACATTTTTGGCATTCAACTCATTCTGCCATGACAACTGCCCAGTTTCTATGACACTGTCATACCAAAAGACAACACCCGCTTCGACATGTTGTTCAACGGATTCACGTAGTCGATTGAGAAAGTAACTGAAAATGAAGAAGAAGTAGGAGAAAATGAGAGAAATATAATAAATACGAGTAGTAACAAATATAAAAATAAACAAATTTAACATTGAATTCATAAATGAAGGACAGCAGCAACAACTCATTGGAATGTCATTTGTCAAGGACATTTCCAAATCGGTTGGAAGGATAAATTGTGTGCTACAGGGTGATGTGAGATACCCTTAAGAGTGTTCGTTGTAGTCATTTCTTTGTCAGTCCATGAAACTAATTTTAAAAGCTATTGGAGATCAGCCAGCATTCTCTCGTTGCTTTAAAATTTGTTAAAATGTGTATGTTTTAGTTTTATTTATTTGGTTTCCAAAATAAATACATTTTTTGTAGTATTGACATTGAAACACTAATATATTTATTTGCAAATTAGTTAAAATAATTTCTAAACAAGTCTCCAATTTTGTTTTTTGTTTTTCTCTCTGTTTCTTAGTAAACAAATTTAATGGACATTGGGTTTTTTTGCTTTCAGTAAAATGAAAGTGTTTTCAATTCATTGTTTGTTTGTTTGCGAGCCAAGCATATTCATTTTCAATAAAAAACACTTTGGGCTGTAACAAAATGCAATGCAAATAAGGACTATCAACGTATTGCATTCTCGGGAACACACAGTGGGACACAAAATTATAAGTATTAAAAGTCTATAAGCAAGAGAGGGTCGAATAGAGATGATTCGACTCTTCAATTTTTAATAATGATTACAATAATAACAATGTTCAAGCCACAGTAGATTAAAGACTTCAGTAGAACCTCATAAAAAACATAAAACGTACAACATATGTCAATAACATATTTATTTGTTAAACAAGTGAAAAAGCGTTAAGTTCGGCCGGGCCGAACTTTGGATACCCTCCACCATAGAAATACTGAAAAATTTCTTTTAATTAAAATATAGGGAACATACATATACCTACAATTCTACCGATTGTTGTAACCAAAATAGAAATTTCAGCAATTTCAAATTCAAATTTGGGAATTTTTCCCTAAAATCTCAAAACCCCAAAATGTTGACATAGTAGAGTGAAACATGTGTATAAAATCCTGAAAATTCCCAATTTAGAGGCCAAATTTATAAGAGGCATACTAAAGCGGGACTAATATTGTCAACAATGTGTTTATGCCTAATTAAGGGCCGATATAGCTCAAGTTCCAAGCTAAGAATATAGTCTCAAATCCCAATACCCTGCATCACGCTAAATATTAAATATGTAGGATGTTTTACATAGGACCTTGGACTACATGCGGGTCGATATAATTCATTCTCAAACCTCACGTTCTAGTTTTTATGTCGATATCATCCAATAGAAAAGTGATTAAAACATATGGCTAAATCGACTATAGCGTTTTAGAATTCCATACTGCAGGGTATGAACTGAAAATTTCGTCTACAGATTATTCCCCATTCTATGGTGGAATACGGGGATAACCCCAACACACGGAACAAATTAGCTAACAAATTTTAATATAAACAAGTGAAAAGCGTTAAGTTCGGCCGGGCCGAACTTTGGATACCCTCCACCATAGTTATACTGACAGATACATGCAATGAAAATATAGGGAACATACTAAAAAGTGGGCACATACCGATAATACCGATTTATGTAAACCATTATGTACATTAAATACAAACTTCGGCAATTTTTAATGGGGATTTTTCCTAAAATCTGTATGATCCAAAAAGTGGACTGATATTTATAACGCATTGTAGAGTATGAAATCCTCAAACTACTGTAATTTAGATTACAAAGTTATATGAGGCTATGCCTAAAGAGGGGCCAATATTGATTACATAGTGTAGGAAATAGTGAATATTTGGGGATATCATCATATGAGGGCTATGCCTAATTAATGACCGGTATATGCCAATTTTGAACCAAATATTTTAATTGTTTATCTCAATTATTTCCTTCAGGAGGTATCACGATATTGGGGATATGCCTAAATGTCTGCCGATATATTTCATTATCATCATGTTTGAGTTTTTTTTATCACAATATCTTTAGAAGGCGGAATGCTTACAACAGATGGCTAAATAGTCTTTGTAGGGTAAAAATTGACTATTCCCCGTAACGACTAACCAACCGTAACACACGGAACAAATCAGTAAACTATTTTAATATAAAAAAGGGGGTTATATGGGGACTACCCCTAAAAAGCGGTGAATATTAATAATTTTTGGTGGGGAGATTTGTTACCATATACGACTACAAATTACCAAATTTCAGCGAATTCGGTTGAAAAACGCGCTCAAGAACCTCAAAATATCGAAAATTGGGGGTACCCTATATACCCCCTATATGGGGGCTACCCGAAAAAATTGACATATATTTATAATTTTTTGTGAAGAGATTTGCTACCCAATAAGAACTCAAATTACTAAATTACAGTCAATTAGGTGAAAAAATCCGGTAAAAACCCCCCAAAAACTGGAAATTGGGAGGCCCCCCAAAAACTGGATATGGGGAGGTACCCTTATATGGGGGCTACCAGAAAAAGTGAACCTATATATATAATTTTTAGTAGGGACATTTAGTACCCAATAAGAACCCAATGTACCAAATTTCAGCGAATTCGGTTGAAAAACACGCTTAAGAACTTCAAAATACCGAAAAATGGGAGGTACCCTTATATGGGAGCTATGCCTAAACGTGGACCGATATAGCCCATCATCGAACTTGACCTGCCTGCAGAAAAAAGACGACTCTATGCAAAATTTTGGGGCTCTATCTCAATTCGTTTAGACGCTAGAGTGATTACAACAGACAGACGGACGGACAGACGGACATGCTTAGATCGTCTTAGAATTTTACGCTGATCAAGAATATATATAGTTTATAGGGTCGGAAATGATTATTTCGATGCGTTACAAACGGAAAAACAAAACTAATATACCCTCCATACTATGGTGGAGGGTATAAAAAGGGGGTTATATGGGGACTACCCCTAAAAACGGGTGAATATTAATAATTTTTGGTGGGGAGATTTGTTAACATATACGACTACAAAATACCAAATTTCAGCGAATTCGGTTGAAAAACGCGCTCAAGAACCTCAAAATATCGAAAATTGCGGGTTCCCTTATATAGAGGCTACCTGAAAAAATGGACCTATATTTATAATTTTTTGTGGAGAGATTTGCTACCCAATAAGAACTCAAATTACTAAATTTCAGCCAATTTGGTAAAAAAAATCCGGTCAAAAACCCTCAAAAACTGGAAAGCAACATAATTATTGACAATGCCGAAATCAAGTGGGAAAAAGGTGTCAAATATTTGGGAGTAGTTCTAGATTCTAAACTAAGTTTTAATAATCATATTTCATATGTAGTAAACAAGTCCAATATACTGATTAAAACTTTATATCCCTTTATAAACAGAAATTCGTCTCTAAGTATCGAGAACAAAATGTTAATATTTAAGGTAATATTTCAGGCAGTATTTTTCTATGCTGCACCGGTCTGGTCTAAAAGTGCCAACTGTCATATAAAAAAACTCCAAGTTGCTCAAAATAAAGTACTTAAGCTAATTCATAATTTACCTAAATATTACTCTACTAATAGACTGCATAGGTTGGCAAACGTTGAACATGTAGCAAACAGAATTGAGAAATTAACTCAACGATTCGATTTAAAATGTTCATTTTCAGAATACGATCATATCGTGAATCTTGGATCACAATAACTTTTTATTTAGTTGTAAGTAGTTATAAGTTTTATTAAAATATTAAAAAATAAAATTCAAATAAGTTTTTGCTAAATTTTTGCCTCCAATTTTCTAAATATCATATTTTGTGCCATATATAATATCAATTGTTATGTTTAATATTTAAGTTGAAAAAGGACTGGATCCTTAAACTCTTTACCTTTAGTAGATTATATATAAATAAGGAATTGTATATATCATGAATATAAATAAATGAATGAATGAATATTATGGGAACTACCCCTAAAATGGGGTGAATATTAATAATTTTTGGTAGGGAGATTTGTTACCATATACGACTACAAAATACCAAATTACAGCAAATTCGGTTGAAAAACGCGCTCAATAACCCCAAAATACCGAAAATTGAGGGGTACCCTTATATGGGGGCTATCAGAAAAAGTGGACCAATGTTTATAATTTTTAGTTTAGATATTTGGCACTAAATAAGAACCCAATGTACCAAATTTCAGCGAATTCGGTTGAAAAACGCGCTCAATATCCCCAAAATACCGAAAATTAGGGGGTACCCTTATATGTGGGCTATCCGAAAAAATGAATCTATATTTATAATTTTTGGTGGGGAGATTTGCTATCCAATAAGAACTCAAAGTACCAAATTTCAGTGAATTCGGTTGAAAAACGCACTTAAGAACTTTAAAATTCCGAAAATTTGGGGGTACCCTTATATGGGGGCTATCAGAAAAAGTGGACCAATGTGTATAACTTTTTGCGTAGATATTTGGCACTAAATAAGAACACAATGTACCAAATTTCAGCGAATTCGGTTGAAAACCCCGCTCAAGATCCCCAAAATACCGAAAATTAGTACCCCCTAATATGGGGGCTATCCGAAAAAATGAACCTATATTTATATTTTTTGGTGGGGAGATTTTCTACCCAATAAGAACTCAAACTACCAAATTTCAGCGAATTCTATTGAAAAACGAGATCAAAAACCTCAAAATACCGAAAATTGGGGGGTACCCTTATATGGGAGCTATGCCTAAACGTGGACCGATATATACCATCTTCGAACTTGACCTGCCTGCAGAAAAAGACGACTCTATGCAAAATCTTGGCGATCTATATCAATTCGTTTAGACGCCAGAGTGATTACAACAGACAGACAGACGGACATGCTTAGATCGTCATAGAATTTTATAGGGTCGGAAATGATTATTTCGATGCGTTACAAACGGAAAAACAAAACTAATATACCCTCCATACTATGGTGGAGGGTATAAAAATAAGGAAGATCTTCACCGATTGGCTTTATCCTAGTTCATACGATAGCTATACACTCACAGAGAAACGTGTAAAAATTTGGAATCGATTGGGTTAATAGTTTTTGAGTTATCGTGCCCGCTATTATCAAAAGAGAAAAACGGGTTAAATGTTTGAGAAGCCCTTTAGCCGTCACTTGATGCTGACACAATAAATCGGCTATATCTTCAAGAGTTCTTGAGAATTTTACTTGAAATTTTGTGGGGACATTCTTGAATTAGTGTAGATTCGAAAATTTTTTTGATCCCGAGAATGGGGGGGTCCCCTTAAATGCAGACAATGCATATCTCTTCCACGTTTCCTCGGTATTATCTATCTTGTTTTTCCAATATCTGTTTTGTTGTGCATTTCTTTATGATCTAATGGATATCAAGGCAAATTGTGTGGTTTCGAAGCTAAAAAACTTCCAACGATTATTGTAGTGTTGCTCGCTGGGTGAATGATAAACAAAAAACCCCTTCAAATAAGAATTGCAAATTGCTTCAATAAATAATACTCAAATGATGATTGTGGTTTCGTTTTAAATCAATAAACCAAAATGAATAGCAGAAAAACAAAAGAGAATCAGTGCTATTCTTTTTTAAAAACAATAATGAAAAAGGAAGAGAAATGCAAATTATTGATGATATTTTTTTCTCAAAAGGTACTCGTTTGTAGTCATAGCATTTAGTTATGATAAGAAAAACAAATAAGAACTTCGTATAAATTAACCGAATCGAATTTTTAATAGCCGCCAACATGAGGTGGACATTCAAAATATCTAAAATTGAGTCACACTTGACTTCAAAAATTCCTAAAAAAAATATAACAATAAAAGTATGATAAATTTTTGGAAGCTAATTTTCAACTTTTCTTTAAAAAATTCCATTTTTGTAGGGGAAAAATTCGTCAAATGGTACAACAAAATTCATATAACTTAAAATAAACAAACTCTTGAAGTTGGTACTAGCATTTGCATTTTGGATAAACTCAAAAGTTTGCCCTTCACACAAAACTATAACAAAAAGAACCGAAAACAAAACTGAACTATTACAACAACAAGGATTCTATCAACCATGACAACGACCAAAGTAATAACATGACTTATAGTTTGGCTAAATCGTTTTGACTGGCAGCTAGCTAGCTAAACCCGTACGAATATTTGTTTATGGATTTGGTGATGTGGGGGTGGGGAATGGATTATTGCCGTGACATTTTTTGGTTCACATTTTTTTTTGTTATTTTCAAAACAGAGACATATAAATCAGAGGTGTAGTAAGAGATACGGGCGGAGTACAAATTCTGAAGGAAATTTTAATTCTGTAGCGATGTTAACTTTTGAAATAGGTTCCCGTCGTTTCTGGCACGGTTATGTATAGAACTATAATAACAACAACACAAACAAAACACCATTGAGTCAACGATTAAAATTTTTCATGGACAAAGTGTCAATTTTATTGGCACAACCGCTATTGAAGCCATGGGCTTTTGTCATTGGTGTTTGGCTAACATTCACATATCCTTGTTAGAAAATATAATTTATAGCCAGCATTTTTATGGGACATAAATATTTTGGAGATTTTACAACAACAAGAAAAACACAAAAAAAAATTGTGAAAAATAATGCCGGGAGTTTATATTATAGGGGCGTTATGTTGAATCAGTCTCTCCTAGTTAAATACAAAAGAGACCAACAGAGGCAGATCAAATTTGCCACTCATCGTTTTTGACGTTGATCTTATAACTGGCTTTAACTAATAACCCGAGATTTCACATGGTTCTTATTTCATCCGATAGTCCAGAAAACATGTCAACCCTACGTTACAATAAGACCTAAAGTCATTTGGTAATTCCAGACATTTGAAACCCCACATAATTGCTATACTGAAACCAGTGAGCGGAACAGTATAGTCGGACGGGGCCGACCATATGATACCCGACACAACTTCCACGAAAATCTAGCTTTGTGTGGTTCTATATTCTGAGCTTGGGCAATATTTCGCGGTATTTGCACCCTCTTGACCGACTAGAGGTCAACAAATATTACTAATATTCAGTTCACCCCTTCTAATAACTTGTCCTGATTCCCTTCAGCGTGGGTTGTGTTGTGATGTTTGGCTTTCAATCGACTCGAAAAAACATAAACAAATTAAGTTTTCGGTCCAATTCATCCCAAAATTATTATCTGACCATAATTGAAAATTATAGGCGTTGTCCTTGACCATGCCTGGATACTCATGGAAAATTTCAAAGCGATCAGCGCTATATTTCCGTCCTCTAGTGGAGTAATGGTTTTCCAAATAATGTCTGAATATGCAAGCACTTGTAACTCCCACATCCGAGTACATACGACAATATAATTGGCATCGATTTAAAGGTCAACCACTCCTCTTCGATATAATATCAACTTCTCGGGTCTATATCCTTCAAAGTCAGGGTCCATTTGACCCGCTAAATATTGACCAATCTTTATAAAAATAGGCACGCTTGTTCCGTGGCCCGACCCTCTTCTCCTCAATTGCGGCCTCTGGAGCGACCAGAAAAATCGACAAAAATAAAGTTTTTGGTCCATTTCATCACCTAAATATTAACTGATCTTTACCAAAAACAATAGGGGTCTTCATTGGCCAGAACCCATAATACATACAACATTTCGTGAAGATTGGTCCATAACTGTGGCCTGTATCGTGTTTACAAATTATAATGGACAGACAGACGGACACACATGTCTAGATCGGCTTAGCTAGTCGGGATATGACGATTGGTATACTTAAAGGTGGGTCTAGGACCCATATTTCAGGGTGTTACAAACTTTTGGGGCTGCACGAAGCTATAATACCCTGACAACATAGTTGTGTAGGGTATAAACAGGCATTCACACAACCAGATATTGATAATCCTACAGTCAGATTACATTTATTTCTTACATATCCACATTGATTTAGGGAATTAGAGTACTCAAGCCGAACGAGAAGCCTCTCCATGTTCAACGTGATTTTTTTGTAGTCGGAGTTTACTTTTAAAAGTCGGAGGTTACTTTCACACAAATATTTCGAATCGTGTAGTGTCTCGATTAATAACAGAGATATTGTAATTTAGCATCTACTTTCCGCTGTAAGACCTCGTGTAATAAAAGGTCCTTTCTACCCTCCAAGTATATAAAGACTTTATACCGTACCCTTCGGTTAGTCTATAAATACTCCCAGTCTTTCCAATAGTCTGTAAATACTCTGTCTGGCCTTCATATTATCTATAATGATTATCGTCCCTCTAGCTTGTCAAAAAGACTCCCTGTCCTTCTGCTCCTCTTTAAAAGTTTCCTACCCTCCAGGTAGTCTATAGATTTCCTACCATTCAGACAGCTTTTAAAGTCCTGCCTTCCAGCTCGTATACGCAAATTCCCCACCTGTTATCGAGCTCTACTATAAAAATTTCCTTCTCGTTAGCTTATTTATATACGCAACTCTTGCCTTTCAGCTCGTCTATGAAGTCGGTACTTTTTATAGGTAATAAATGGTGGCATGACGCAGAATGTCTGCCAGTCCGCAGCCAAGGCCACTCCATATTTATTATGAACTTATTCTTAAAGTTTACGATATAAACAGAAACAGATAATCATAAAAAACACACAAGTCTGAACTACTACAACAACAAACAAGTTGCTAAAGTTATTCAAAATCATCATAATCAATACCAGTTGCAGAAAGGAAACTTTTTCCAATGCCGGGAATTAAATTTCTACTAAAGTCCAATTGCTTAAAGTTGATGCCACAAAGTCTTGCCGTAATAATATAATCTATTAAATTAAATTTCATATGTAATATATTTTGGACAATAAAAGCTTTTGTAAATAAATAAAAGCCACTTGAAGTCTCGTTTTCACATTTTCCACACAATTTACTTACTATAGATTTTCCATTGAATCTGGTTCGACTTTGCACTCGACATTGATGAGCCATCCTTCGAAATGGTAATGTTTACACAATTTCACCATAGCGTCCACAATATTGTCTATCATTTCGGTTGAGGCCAGCACATCGTGTAAACGTTTGGCACCATCCGAACCTTCAGTAATGAAAGTACCTGTAGAAGAGTAAAGGGGGAGAGTAAGAAGGGGGAAATCCTTTTTTTATATAATGTAAATTTTAATGAAATGCAATATACTCGTACATTGCTGCAAATTGAGCTTTTTACACATGTGTGTATATGTCGTCGATATGATTTCAGAGAATATAACCCAATAAACAAAAATATGTGTGGTATAAGTTCATGGATATATAACTTGCCCCATGTATGGCAAAATTATTTGGTCCCTACATTAAAACACTTATGCCAAGATCCATAACACAAATAATCTCTATATACCATGTTGTCAGGTATATTGACGTTACTCTGCATTTGACCAAAGTTTCCCAGCTTCCCGCTAAATGCCTTTTGCGTACTCATTATCCAATTTAGACATCCCTTTCAAAAGTTTCACCTAACATCGATGATACATATTTTCTGATTGAAAAGGATTAAATACATTTTTCCTAAAAATATACAAACATCCAGTGTGTAAAAAAGTGTGTGTGCGTGCGATGTGGTCGATTCATTTGCAATTGCATACGTAAATGGAAATAATGACGAATGTTAATTAAAAAAACGATAAAATCCATACATATAATAAGGATTTTTCGCACTGTATGTAAATCCATAAATAAATTGTAATTTAATTGGACTGATCGGTCCAACACATTTGTAAAATTATAAAAAAATAGAGATGACAGAAACGAACCAAACTGATAAACCACATTACTACAGTTTTTGTGTGCTTTGAAAAAAGAAATGAGTAATCAATGTCGAAGTTATTCAAAATGAATTATTTAACGATGAGAATACAAAAAAATTGGTATTAAGTTTAACATATAACGCTGAAAATATGTCGACAATCTATTTTTGGGAAATCCAAATCCCACAATTTTGAGGGGGCCTTGACGAGTATGCTATGTACCCAGAGGGACAAATTCGCAATAGGTCAAGTCGTTTTTAAGTTATGGAGTGATGATTTTTTGCTTGAATCTCTAAAGTTCATGAACATTCAGTCAAATAGAAGCAGAATTATTTTTGTATAGCGTATCCTCCTGCTATCGAGTCTTTTTTGTGCTTATTTTCTTGAACTGTAACCTAAATGCAGTAAGACGGCATATCTTTACCTCCAAATATTGTACAAAAATTTCGCTCATAACTACAATCGAAATTGATATAAGTTTCGGGCTAAGTCCCATATAACGTGACATATTCGGTATTTTGGGCAAATTTTTCAATCGAATTGAATATAATTTGAAAATGTAGGCGTTCCTCCTATTAAAAGTGTCCTATGTAAGTGGTGGAGAATACGAAAAGTCTGGTCGCCCGAACTTAATCATTTAATTCATATTTAGCTAGTTATAATTAGTTATAATTATGTTGGGGAATAAGAAATTCATTATTTTTTCGGCAGATGGCTGTACTGAAAACTTTTGAAATTCATTCTCACTAAATATACTTACCCAATACGGAGACACCATGTTTATGGGCAGCATTTATCCAGCCACATGGTGGAATTGTAATATAGTTATGACTAAAATAACAAAAATAATCAACAGCTGACCAATGATAAAATCGATAGTCATCATATTTTTTTGACGAATGATAATGTCTGCAAGATAAGAAACAAACACACACACAAAAATTAAGTTAAAAGAAATTAAAAAAATATATATACAAATTAAGTTACCATTGCTTACCTGTCTTCCAAATAATTGCCCATCATATCGTGACATAGTAACACCTTACGCCGATTATGATTACCAATGGGTTCACGATAATTACTAATTAAATTAAATTGCCTCTGCAGATAGACGGGTGAGGATCTTGGCTTCTTTGGCGTTACATATTCATGCCAATTGACATCTTTACTTCGCACATTGAATTCCAGCAATTGTTCATTTGTGTGTATGGCTTCAGCTTCTAATTTATCTGCAATAGACAATGGAATTGACATTTTTTTTAAATTATTTTTCAGCAAATAAAAAAGCTCTTGTAGTTTTATATTGTAACGAATGTAATGTGCAACTATATTTGAATGAGAGGAAGAAAAAACAAAAACACAACTAAATCCACCAGAACGAACCACTACTAATTTATATTGTGTTCTATTGCTTCCTTATCATTTTCATATATATTTTTTTCTACATTGAAAACCATACATACAGACTACATGCAGTCTAGAAAACTTTGATTAATAAAAAACAATTTTTGCATAAAAACTATTGCAAACCAATGCAACATGTGAAAATGTATGTATGCATGTTTATATCTGAAACCGTTTAGCTTATCGAAAGACAGTGAATTGAAACAGAAAATATTTGTTATAAAACATAGGGTTTTCTATAGAAAGTTCAGACTATCAATACCTGTGAATTTGTTATTAGAACTCATAAATCTGACGTTTATAAAAAAGGTACAGTCCTCAATTATTTACAGCTTTATAAAACAAAAACAGAATAGTTGTTAATTATTGATATTCAGTCTATAGATTCTGAAGATGTTGAAGGTGTTTACTGTCGTAAGTTTATAACTTTTACTCCTTTATGAAGTGTGTTCCTACCAAAGCATAAGCTACGATGATATGCATAGGTCGTGTGAAACTGTTGAGATGACGTTAAATAATTACTATCACTGATACGCTCATCGGGAAAAGATTTCCCAATTAGCGCTACCCTCTGGTCATCTGGAATTATATATAAACTTTTCCCTCGGGAATGTTTCGGCTTTTGCTATGTATGTTCCTGTGAAGCCTAAGCACTTATTACTGAAGCCTAACCTACTGTTTCTTTCCTATTTTTTTCTCTATCCCTACCGACGCGTACAAAACCGAAGGTTGAATTGTCCCAACAATGATTGATTCTTTGCAACAGGCAGGAACAACATACTCCAAAGGCTTTGAGGAGGATGTTATTCCTTTAGTTACAACTATTGTTAAAAAATCCGACCATATAAACTTAATCTTTGAAAAATTAAGGTCCATTAACCTCAACGGATCATAAACCGCACCTCATGAACTCATTATCTTTCCGAACTACAGGTGCGACAATTTTGCTTGTTGAAGTGGTGGTAGAGGAAAATAGATTTAATCAGTCTATATGATTTTTCCATGGTTCTGGAGTATAGTATAAAAAATAGCAAAACTTTGTAGATTCTTGTCACAAAGTCACATCAAAAAAACTGTTTGAAATTCACTTCAAATACATTTCGTTCAGTTTTATTCCATTTCGTTTTATTTT